GCGAGGCTGTTGTGTGTTGCCTCGCTCGCAGTACGAGGCGAGTAGCTGTCTGCATACTCGCTCTGCTATGTAAGACGAGTAAGCGAGGAGCGAGCGCTCCGAGTGCACTATACAACACATGCATTTTTGTGCATAAAAATGTGGGAATGTATGTCAATAGATTATGTACGAAAGTATGTTAATAATTGTGTGTACATATGTACATATGCATACAAATATGTAAATATTATATCGAGCCCTAACCGCCAAAATAACGTAAGCGACATTTTTTTCAAAATTTTATTTTTGATGCAGAAATGTACCTAGATGCTCTAGGAATATTTCTGCATCAAAAAGAAAATTTTGAAAAAAATGTCGCTTACGTTATATTGGCGGTTAGGGCTCGATATTAGGGCAGCTTTTAAAACAACAAATAAAATTTATTACATACATAAGCACAGGTTATGGAATGAGATATTTTTTTGAGTTATATATGTACATACCTAACATGCATATTTATATATGTATGTATGTATGTACATATGCATGTATTTTGTCTTTACAGAAGATAGTACCCACTGGGAAAATAGGTAAGCACCTTACGAGGTAAGCCATGTTTTCTTTCAGTTTTTAGTACCAAAATTGTCATCATGGCCAATGTCATCTACTAGTAAAGCACAAAATGAACACCTCCAACGACACATTACGTTGTCAGTTGCAAAGTAACGTGCAGCCGAAGTTATCTCCAAGCGCCGAACTACTCCGAGCGACTTCTCTGCATTACACGTAACTTACTTTGTAAAGCGGCTCAGAAGTATGTCTGATTCCAAATGTACATTCTAAATTCCTACTTACATAAGGCGGCCATGCCTTTATAAAAGTAAGGGACGTTCGGCAGGGAAATGGTAATGACTGCCAGGTGAAGAGTAAATTGCTAATAAGGTATTATTACGTGCTCCTAATTCCCACTGGGTATAATCGTTTGTGCCGCAGAAACAAAAAACAAGTAAGCACTTGTTAATACTCCAAAATAGTTTGCTACTTGTAGCAGTTATGCTGTATACCTGAATGAAGTATAATCCTTGGAGAAAAAATTTATTTGTGGCCTGTTGTTCAAGGAAATATGTACATATGTATGTATGTATGTATGTATGGATATGTATTTGCGTAAACAAAGAATAGAGGC